CCCGCAGGTGCCGCAGCTGAAGGGCTTCTCCTCCGTGTGCGTGTGCATGTGCCTCTTGAGTTTCCAGTTATCCCTGAACGCAGCCCCGCACACGCCACAGAGCTTCCCCTTGCCGCTGGCCTCCTCGGTTAGCCTGTTTCATCCAAAAATCAAAATCCTCATCGGTGACTTTTCTGATAGCAAATTTGATGCTGAGAACGTTGGTCACTGTCCGAACGCTCTGCGACATCGGGAACCCACCGCGCAACGGCGTTAAAGATTTGGGCCCGCGCGGGCCCCGAGTCCAGGAGCAGCGCGCGGATGGATGCTGCAGCGGCGTCGCGCGGCGCAGGCGACTCATATTCACATCACACGTACCCTAGGGTGTCCTCCATCGAACGCGCCGTGTCCGACCGCAGTGCGATGTGCCGTTCGGGCTAGCCAGCGAGTGCAAGTTGGCCGAGGGAGTTAGGCCCTTGGTAAAATCGACCGATCATTTTGGATGTTTTATGGACGGAGAACCCTCGCCTAGGGTCCCACACATCGGCCCCGAACACCAGAATCAATACGCCCCTACGCCAACCGTCCGAAAAATGAACAGTTTTGGCTGAGTGGCAGACAGCGGCGGCTGCTCACTGTTTGAAACGCGCGCGCCGGCAGGAGTGGGGGAAGCTTCCCCGCCAACTTCGCTCTACCAATCGCTTTTTGGTTGATGCATTAGAGTATATCGGTTATAAAAAGTCGAAATCATAAAGCTAGACCCTAAATCTAGTGGTTGTTTAACCAAGAAAGCGATTGGTAGAGCGCAGCTGGCGGGGAAGCTTCCCCCACTCCTGCCGGCGCGCGCGTTTCAAACAGTGAGCAGCCGCCGCTGTCTGCCACTCAGCCAAAACTGTTCATTTTTCGGACGGTTGGCGTAGGGGCGTATTGATTCTGGTGTTCGGGGCCGATGTGTGACACCCTAAGCGAGGGTTCTCCGTCCAGAAAACATCCAAAATGATCGGTCGATTTTACCAAGGGCCTAACTCCCTCGGCCAACTTGCACTCGCTGGCTAGCCCGAACGGCACATCGCACTGCGGTCGGACACGGCGCGTTCGATAGAGGACACCCTAGGGTACGTGTGATGTGAATATGAGTCGCCTGCGCCGCGCGACGCCGCTGCAGCATCCATCCGCGCGCTGCTCCTGGACTCGGGGCCCGCGCGGGCCCAAATCTTTAACGCCGTTGCGCGGTGGGTTCCCGATGTCGCAGAGCGTTC